ATTTTGAAGGAAATAATAATTACTGCAGCTGGAATTTTCTTCTTCTGTTTGTACTGAATGAAATGTAATAACATCGTTACATAATTGATAAATATTTTTAATAAAAAACTCAATATTATTTGCCATTAGCTAAATTGTCCTTTGTAGAATTAAATAGACGTTGTGTAATGTTTCAATGAGGCGTTTTTGCGTCAAGAAGCGTCAATGTTAATTTGAAACATATAATGCTCAGTAGTAATTCATCAAAAGATGCTGTATTCAAATATTAGATTCACTTTGAATTATACTCTCATTAAACATGATAGAACTATTAGAAATCGATTTCTCCATTAATTGGTCAAGACAGGGACACCTTCTCTATTTCAATTTTTCTTCATTATTGCAATTCTTGTTAATTATACAAAGTATGGGCATTGCGTAGTTTATCGTCTTCTACTGATAATTTCTGTAGTATTTCAAAACGTCTGACAACCACATCACGTAGTTTACCTCAAATACAACCATCTAATTGTAACCGAATTGTATTAGCGATTCCATGGTTTATCGGTTGAGTTATCGTTCACGTTGACGAGACAAATTATCTGTTCTGATTAATCGTCCACCTGAAATTCCTCGGATTCTCTTGCCTGAAATAAGCTCGGGGTGAACTGATTTCCAACCCTTTATAAATACATGGGGAACGCACTCAATTCGGATTAAGTCCTGTTGCGTACAATATCCGTCTGCCAAAACCAACACCGCTTCTACTATACATTCTGAATATCTAACAATGAGCAAAATAACCAAAATACTTCTTGATGCACACGATGGAAATATTGTAAGGGAAATAGGGAAGTTTTAATTTTATATAAATACTAACATAAAAAAAGGTTTAAATAAATAAATAAATAAATTGTAAAATCGCTCATGAATTATATTATATTATGTTGATTTAATATTAATCTGGTGCTTTCAAAAGAAATCGTACTTACGATAGATTAGCACCGACGTTTCGCCCATTTCTTCTGAAGATATTTACAATTGTTTCGTGGAGAGGGTGCTGATATATATATAAACATGAGGGTAGACGTTACCGAAAGCCCCAACTATTCGCGTGGTGCCGCTAATGCACCGTCCATTTGTGACCACCATGACCCCATATTCTGCATATGAATACGTTGATTTTATCTTGACATCTGCACACTCAATTTATTTTTATATTTTGTGGTACTAGCATTAACTTTGCCAATCAAACGGCGACGACTGCAGATTATTACTAATCATTACGTGAAAGTAACTTGTCTACGTGTCAGCTGTTGCGAAGGTCACGAATAGGTATGTATGTTTCGTCGCTTGCGAAAACAAAACAAACAAGATAACGCGGCTACAAAGTAGTTAACTGTTCTTAATCATTGCTATTCCATTTAACTGGGGTACTTTTTGTGCATAATTTTTGCATCACGAGATGCACTCTACAGTGCTTCTAGATGTTACCTTTTAAATATTCAGACGTATGGTATACAGTATACATTGTGGGTCAACTGATTCATTGTGTATGTATAAATCTACATATAAGGAAATATGCCGCAGGCTTTGCTAGGCCAGTAAAGCAAGCATTGTAAACTCGACACTATGAAGCACAATAAACTTAATTAAAACGTGACGATGCCACAAAAGCGCAGTTTGTTTCCCTTCATTGTTATTAAGACGGTTTATTTGTTTGCATTCATATGTCTATTTTTTGGTCTCCCTTATTAAATACTATTACAGGACCATGTTCACTGAACCACTCGTCCAAAAATTAGCAAGGTAGATGAAACCGAGTACCTACAGAAACATCTATTAAAACATTCCAATGTAACAAATTCATCCATTAGTTGTCTTTAACTTGCCCCAATAGTTCTGTACATCATTACGAGTTCGTCCACATACTATAAACTATATGACCATATTCACTGGGCCCCGACCATAAAATTAGCATAACAGATATAATTGACTTCAGAGTTATCTTTTGGGTTTGCCAAAATGATGGTAGATTATGATTCCGTACATCTTCACTGATGTAATTTTTTATCATAGTCCATATAACTGGTAATCAATTGGGTGAAAACCATATATTGGATTGTTATAAATAATGAATCAATTAAATTTTTGCCATTTTGATTTCAGGATAAAATAGATAGATTCAAAAGTAGATCCTTCTCACAATAAGCAACAAAATTGTTTGAGAAGTTTGTAATTATACCTTTTACTAACATATAATCGCAGGCTAAAATCGATAAGACAGCTCATCTTCCAGTCAAAGAACCACAGGCAGAATTGTGAGAAGTTTCTAGAAATATTTTGATGCTCTTGCTCGAGAACATTCCAAAAGAATACACATGTATACAAATATGTGGGTCGATGCATTGGCAAGTAATATACACACATAGATAGTGCGAATAAAAAAGCAAATACAATTATTAAATTACAAAATACAGTGAAAATAAATAAGATTCCTTACCACTACAACTAAATAATTTTTGTATTTACGTATATAAAAGATTGGAGAGGTTTTTCGCTCATCTAGTTAGCGATTTAAATTACATGCTTTAGTAATGACTCTTGTTCATTCGTTTAAAGTTTTGTTGCGAATATAAAGAGACAGCATCCCTGAGAATTAAGAGAAATTTCCATAAAATATTAGCATCATTATGTGCTGTTAAGCTAAAACTTAAAAACTTCTATTTGAATATGCAAAAGTCGACAAATAATGTGCGTCTAAAACGCTTTGTAGCAGCTCAGATATAGTAGCATAATGGCTTATTTTATTGGTGCATGTCGTTTTTACATAACTTGGTAGCTCTGCAAACTGCATTCATGTCTCCTAAAAAAAGTCTTCTGTATTGTGGTGAACGGCATTAGTATGCGATACAGCTTAAATTTGCACACGTTTTAAAAATTATCACAAATTCTCTATTTAAAATTCGATATCATAAAAAAAAACTGGATTCTGACCAGCACTATGAAAACCGTAAAATTATTGGGATCAGTCAAATGGGAGATGTTCGCGCAAGGTCCTAGAACCTCATTATTATTATTATCATCAAAGTGTCTTCGGTAAAGGAGGTGAGGGTGGCGATACCACCCCTACCCCATTTTGGTTGAACTATATAAATTGACTTGCTTGGTACAAAAACAAGTGTTCGAAAGGCTCTCGTGAAGTCTCCTCAAATCATCTATCCTAGCTAAGTTGTGTCGTCAAATTAACTCTTCTTATTTTTCTATGTTAATTGTTAAGTGTTCCTTAAGTTTGTATATAGTTTTTTGGTTAATATACGGTTAAAAAATATTGAAAAGTTTATTAGAGAAAGTGAGCTCTTGTCAAAGTTACAAGTAGCATTTCCACGAAACAGGAGAAGTCTAAAAACATGGCGCTAATAAGGGTACAGTCCCTATATTAGCGTATCGTGTAATTATGGATTTTTAACTGATTAGTATTACCATAATTGGTATTATTATTAAAGACAGTACAACTATAGGGATAGACAGGGGAACAAACTCGAAGATAAACCTTATTATTTGACCTTTTCAAAGTCTAGGTTCTTTGTGTGAGCGTTATAGGAATAAAAAATGGCGCATCAAACAACACTTAATAAAATAACTCAGTAAATATGCAGGTGATAACTTTTTATGGTGGACATTTAGAACACGATATTAACTCCGCCTACGGAAGAAATTTTATATGCACCCACACTCTTCTTCCTGTCGCATTGGAGGGACTCTCTCATAGATTTGTTTGCATTTGATGGTAAACCCGGGCGGTTTTATAGGTCTTTCGCAATCATAATAAAAATCGCGAGTTCGTAACTGAAACACGTAATAAAATACATATATAAAACAAATCCTTGCGCCGCGAATATTGAATCCTTTTATTCATTCCTCGGCTTTCATTATTTTACACTGAAATACAAAGTTTTCCACGGGAGATGATAATAAGTTCTAATATAAGATCACAAAGTCGGTAATCATTTCAGAAAGTTAATTGACTCCATCGTACCACGGTTGAGCCGTAGATAGCTACCGATGTTCTTATTACATTTTTTTGTAAGAAATTTCAGCCAATCTAAATGAATATTAATTCCTAATTAATATTCAATAGTTGCCGTCGATGCGGGGCCCAATATTGGTTCTTCCCGGAAACATGGCCACCAGCTTAAGATGATGGTTGCACAAAATAATGCTTTCCGAAGTGATAAACGTATCTCAGTATCTCAGTTACTCAAAATTATTTAAATTAAACACTATTTAAATTCGCTTGCTTATATTACATAGATCAATCAAAATTTATTCATATTGGTTAAAGTAAAACAAAAATACAGGTATGCAAGGGAAGAAAAAGTAGGAAAAGAGAGGATATAAAGATAGGAGACGAAAGATTTGAAGAAGTGCCTGATTTGAGGTATCTAGGAAGTCAGATAAGTCAGGACGGAAGGAGTAGTAGGGATATAAAGCAGAGGATAGCGCAGGGTCGAGTCGCCTTAAATTAAAAGAAGTCACTTCCATGTTCGGGAACTTAGGAATTATAAAAATGTTGCGTGGCGCTGTACGGGTGCGAAACATGGACGGTGGGCGCTGCGGAAAAGAAAAGGTTAGAAGCGTTTGAAATGCGGTGTTACAGGCGAATGATGAGGATACCGTGGATAGAGAAGGTTAGACATGAAGAGGTATTAGAAAGAATAGGAGAATAGAGGATTCTATGGAAGTCAATAAAGAATAGGCGAGATAGGTTGGTAGGGCACCTTCTCAGGCATGAAGATCTAGTCAGACATTTAGAGGGTTATAAGGAATAGAGGTAGGCCCAGATTAGATTACTGTTCGCAAATAGTTAAGGATATGGGTTGTTCTAGTTTTAGGGAAATGCGAAGATTAGCTCAGGATAGGAAAGAGTGGAGAAACGTGTCCAACCAGTCTTAGGACTGACGACCTTATGATGATGATGAAAGTAATAACAAAATATTGTGGAATCGTCAAATACTCACCGCAACTTTTAAAGTAAATAGAGCTGCTCTCTCTCGTCGGCGATACTTACTGGTTTTCATTTTGCGCAATCTTTTAGGATTATCTCTAATTCTGTTTTGCTGACTGAAACAAATTAAAACGATAATTTTTAAATTTCCATTAGCAGCAGTAAACTGATTAAGTATTATATAAGCTACTAGAAAATTGATAAGAAAGGAAGGGAAAATAGACACAATTTGTGCAGGTTTCAAACGGGTCTAACTAGTAGGTAATTGACAAAAATATAATATCTATACATATCGTATTTCTTCATAGTACCTTAGACGACCTCGATTAACTTTCTTCCACCGATGCTATAGCAACGATAGTAAACGCATAATAAGTAATAATAATCGTGTGGAACGGGCATTGTACGTAAAAGTAGATTTGTGATATTATTTACAAGCATATTTTACAACACACAGTCCATTATTTGCCGGTGCAAGGTGAACAGCTCTTCTGTAGGCCGCTCGCTTGTTTTGTGCAATAGTACACGAGACTGAATAAAAATCAGAACGCGTAAATCGCTGCTGAACACAAAAAAATCAAAAACCGAACGAGTAATAGATAAGAGGGTCGCATAGGGTCAAATCTTGTTTGTTTGCGTTTTGTTTTCCTTTTTCGATATTTCCGTGCTGATAATGGCGCCAATTACAAAGCCTGTGTTAGAAGATGATCAAAAATTTGCTGTAATGAAGGTAAGTCTTTCAGTGTCTACTGTTGTAATTTTCATTCGTAAGAAAATTAAAAAAGATCTTAAAACGAGAAAAAATTAGGATTATTAATATCAAAAATCAAATCTTTAATTCAATAAAAAATATTCCACAAACCATGTAATTTTAATTTATTAAGTTAGATGAAATATACTCTACACGTAATTCTATTACGAAAATATTAGTAATTCACCCAATAAATCATGAAGTACAGTACAGAATATTAAAAAAAAGTTGAACAAATAATCAATAAAAGTAATTCACAGAATACATTTCGTTCACTTGAAATTATTAAGCGCATATCTCAATTTATAGATTATTAAATTTATAAAACTGCATAATAACAATAACAAAAAATGTTATTAGTCGCTGACCCGTCAAGTGAAACTTTATTAGTAAGCGAGTAGAAAGAAAAGTTTCTAATAACATGTTATTCAGAAATTTTCCATTATTTACACCTATAAATTAAAAATTTGCCGATAACCGACAGCAAAAGTAACTAACACTTCTTTTGCTAAGTTAAGAGGAACGTATAGATAATTGTTGATGTTACATAAGTTTGATAGATATGAAATACTATACTTACGTAACTCATGGATATTCTATTACTTCAAAGGGTAACAAAATCTTTTAAAAACCTGGGAAATTTGGGCAGATTAAAGCCTTTGAAGGATGTTTCGCATTGTTTTGTTTAATTTAGGAATGTTTTTAAAGAAACAGCTGATATTTTCAGATAGAGACATAATCCACACGTTCACAAAATTTTGTATTTTGACTCGTACTACATAAAAAAATCTGTAATTTCTATGTTCCGCAAATATTTTGCCTTATTTGTAATCTGTTGAATGAAAACTCTTCAAGAGCAAAAATTAATGACAGAAATTTTCTTGATAGTAAATCAGGTTTACATATTAGAAAATAAAAATTTTATTTTGGAAAAAAACATTATTGTGGTCCAATGAAGTTACCTACAACATAATACAATTGTAAACCACATCAATAACGAATTGCGGGTATTGTGTTTGTAATTAGAAGCGTGTACCTACCTGCGTCATCAACTTACGTAAATCTTTTTTTTGTAGGTTGAAATTTCTCTTGTATAAATGCTCAACCAATTTTTATTCCACTCATGTGATTCAAAGTCTAATTAGTAACTGCAACATGTTATCAATTTGTCGCAATTTGGTTCCACTCTTAGGCAACCTTATTTTAATCAAACTGTGGTGTCGAAACCAGCTAGTAATCGACAGTTATTTTTTATTGATAAACTATAATTAATTGAGTTTAATTCAGTAGGAGCTTCTTAATTATTAGATAATTAATAGACTACGTAAATCCTTGATGCCGCTATAGTTTTGCAGTAAAACCAGCCTTTATTTTTTTTTATTCCGTACTTGTTTAGATCCTAGATCTTTTACAAGTTGACCTTTTTAGGTCTACAGTCTTAAATTTCAGTCACAGTGTATGAACTATAATTACAAACTATGTACATTCCTACACGTTTATGTATGTCTTACATCAATAAAACTAATATCCATTTTACTGTATATTTATACCTACATACTCTTATCTGTTTACATTACAATTCTTTTCATACTAATGATCGTTGATCTACTCTGACAATATAAATGCTCGCAATTTGAGACAATTTTTTATATAAAAGCATAGATTCTTGGCTTGTTGTTCATCTTCCACCATCAGTATCTCAGAAATACTCAGATTTTTTTTTAAGAAAACCTCCCTAAACATTTCGTATATCGGGCAGTCCTTTAGAATATGTTCAAGTGTCTCGTTTTCTTCCAGACTACATATCGCGCACCTTTCGTCAGTCTCGATTATGTATTTAACCTCCTTTAGTTTTATTCTTATCTGTTTTTGGCCTGCTAATCTTAATTGTGCAATGGCACGAATCATATATAATGGGATATTGAACTTCAGGTATTCAGCACCATCAAACTCCTCGTATCTGATTGTCTTGTATAGAGGGTGGTAGCTATAATTCTCCACTCTAACTATGTCTTGGTCCGTGTTGAAGTTAACTATTTTCTGGAGTGCTTTGTCCAGATCAGACTTGAAGTCTACATTCCGGGGATCTAATACCAGGTCATATTTTGTGACTATTGTCATTGTTTTGGAGTACCAGTTTCTTCTTTTGTTGTTCTTGGGAGTATTATGCAAAGTCATTAGTTGGTCCAGACACCGTTTGGGATAACGATGTTCTGGCATGTTGCTTATTTTAGTCCAGAGATTGAAAATTCGTTTGACCACTCGAACCTCTAGTGATGACGTTCCTGTTTCTAGCCTTAGTGAGTATCCAGGCGTACTCCGAGGCAGAAGTAAAATACCTTTAATAAATGACCTGAAGACTTTGTCCAATTCATCTAAATACTGATGTCCCCATACACTCGTCCCATACAAAAGAGCTGATGTAGCTATCGCATTGAATAGGATTAATCTTTGGTTCCAGCTCGTCATTTTAGAAGCAATCATTGTACTCCAAATTGACCCTAAGGCAACTCTTGTCCTCGTCTTGGAGTATTCACAGGCACTACTAAACATCCCGGATGTTGAAAAAGGTACCCCTAGATACACGAAGTTATTTACTATTTCTAATGCATTATTTTTGTACTTAATCGTCCTCTGGGATGGAACTCTTCCACTTTTCTTAAATAACATAACTTTAAAACCAGCCTTTAATTAATTAACAACATTTAAAGATAATCTAACCGGCGAAGATATTTAATGAAGACTTCGTGAGTGGAATGATAACAACTTTAATTCGTTTAATTTTTACTGAGCTGTCTCTGTTGTCAATATAATTAAAATAAGTTCCTAAAAAAGCTCATTGATAAGGGTTGATGTCGATATTTTGCTCCCTTATAGTTGCGCTGCCCTTTATGCGTTATCTTGTGGAAAGTTATGACAAATATAATTACGATTGTAGTAGTTTGTACTTTTTAAACGCATCGTTAATATGAATAGCTTTTGTTGTCTCCAAGGTTTTACCTAATACTAATTAAAGAAGGAAACAAACTTGAAGTCGAACAAATTATTTTCAAAAAGTAGCCGTCACGTAAAAACCCATTTATGATTATTGAAATTCGATGTTTTATTTGTTTAACTGCAAGTTAAGTGTGGACTAAAGATTCTAATGACCTTAACTTCAATTTTTACATGCTTTTAATTAGTTATTTCATGTAAACGTTTAAACACCATGATGATAACGTAATTTAAGGTAAATTAATGATCTAATTAACCTTTGTCATTCTTTTTCAAACAGAATAAAACCAGAAGTAAATAATCTTTATTGAACCAGGAAATTTGATTGTTAGCTTACTTACACTGACTCAAGGGACATATTAAAATGTTTAATTAAGTACGTAATATTAATTAGATCTAATCGTTTACTCAGTATTTATTAATTACTTTTTCCTGTCTTCCTATATTCAATGAGAGTACTTAGGTACCTAACACATGGGCAAAACTAAAACAACATATTAGGTATTAATATCTAATAACATAATATGGTCATCAGTCCTAAGACTGGTTGATGGACACACACCTCCAGTCTTTCCCATCCTGAGGTAATCATCCCAAATCCTTAACAGTTTGTAAACAGTAACCTAATCTAGGTCTACCTGTACTCCTCTTAACTCATATTTCTGCTTCTAATATGTCTCTGGCTAGCCCTTCATACCTGAGAAGATGCTCTACCAACCTATCTCGTCTATTTCTTATTGGTTAAACTATAGATATCTAAATAAAGAGATATACACTTTTAAAACGATTCGTTCACAAGCTTACTGGAAAATTACAGACAGTTTACGTTTATACAGGTGCTGCTATAAAAGTGCAACACGAATGTAAACTTTAAATTATCGTTGTTAAAATTAATATATCTTACAATTAAGCAGAATAAACATGGACATCAATAAAACTAGTGAAAGTGTTTGATTTTATTCGTAAAACGCATTGATGGAATTTTACAGGACTTCCTTATAAAATTCTCGTACATTCACCTTTTAATTAACATCTGAAATACATTCATTTTTTATGGTTGGTACATAAAAAAATAGTATGTCGTNATAGGAGTTGCATGTCCCACCAGTCTAAGAACTGACGACGATGATAAATCTTCAATTGCTAATCCCAAAAAAATAGATAAATAATTGGAGTTGATTATGTCAATATCGTCTATATATTTCAAAAACAAACAAAGCAAAACATGTACACATAAAACAAAATCGATAAACATAAAAATAGAGAAGATACAATAAAAAGATAAATAAATGCATTTAAAATAAAGTCTTAGAATTTCTTCTCGTATGATAAGCCAACTTGATGGTCAGGTTTCATTCCATGGCCAAAAGTTGTCTGTCCAGAAACCGATAAACTGGAATCTCTTCCGGTATGAATTGGTGCAGATCCTCCTACGGTTCCTCTGGACGGGAATCCTGGTGTTTTTGATCCACTAACGAAAGCATTACCTCCACTGCCATGTTGATAATTAAGTCCAGCACTGTTTGTTTCGGGTCCAAGTCGATGCATATGTCTATCAAAATTCCTGTCGTGTTGGGCCCAAGCTGAAGCTTGATGATTTGGGGTATTGACTAGACCAACGGTTCCTCTAACTGACCCTTGTCCACCTATTCCCGGAGTATGAGAAAGACTTCCAGATAATCCATGACCCTAAATATATTTAAAAGGAAAAGGAAAACTCTTACTAGTTGTATAGGTACCTATGGAAATTTATCTTTATTAATGTATTTTCTCTACTTACCCCCGGAGTATTCACACCAGCACCTCCACTGTACGTGATGGGACCTCCAGAGTGTGACATCGAACCCCAAGCCGGTCCCGCCTTTACCCCAATCTGTTGATGTTTACCATTTACTCCTCCGAAAAGTTCTCTTCTTTCTCTAAATAATAGTTGCACCGCATCATGTTCGTCTTCGGGAATTAGATCGCAAGAAACCAACCCAACTGTTAAAACAACCAAAAATAGAGACACTGTTTGAGGTGACATTTTGTAATAGACTTGAGAACTCTTGCTGTAAACTGCACCAGGATTTGGATTTACGAACTATTTATACTGTTCGCATTCGCGAATAAAAAATAACGAAGAATCCCCTTAACTGGACATTCCCGTTGGTTATCTGAATTGGTCACGCATGCTTAGCAATATTATTAATACTTTTTGCAAGGGAATCACCAATTGATTGTTGAAGTAAATAAATAACAGTAAAAAAGCCATCCGTGTGATGACCTCAGACGTCTTTATCAACTTAACAGTTGCATTAAATTTAACGAATACATACAATTCTTAGAAACACCAACGAGAAAAGTTTTGCAATTCAAAAAATACCCGATGCATAAAAAGAATAGCCTCTACCTCAAACTACCTCAGGTGAATAAGGGAAAATTCGTAAAGCCAAAGGTCCCTCTTAAACCTGAGGTAGTTTGTAGTGGATGAAAAATTGAAAATGAATTTTCACATTAATATTTCATATTAACCACTATTAATAATTAAAAATGTCTTGGTGTTTTAGTGTTTTAGTTAGGATACATTATCAGAGAATAAATTAAGTTAAATAAGTGCATTATAATTTTGATATGTTGTCCTTTAGTCTAAAAATGCGTATTTTCCGAAAAAAAAGTGTCTATTATTGCATATATTTTAACGCCTTAATTTTCAGGTCATGATGTTAATGCAACTGTTAAGTTGATAAAACGTCTGAGGTCATCACACTGATGGCTTTTTTACTGTTATTTATTTACTTCAACAATCAATTGGTGATTCCCTTGTAAAATGTATTCATAATATTGTTAAGCACGCGTGACCAATTCAGATAACCAACGGGAATGTCCAGTTAAGGGGATTCTTCGTTATTTTTTATTCGCGAATGCGACCAGTATAAATAGTTCGTAAATCTAAATCCTGCTACAGTTTAATGCAAGAGCTCTCAAGTATATTACAAAATGTCACCTCAAACAGTGTCTCTATTTTTGGTTGTTTTAACAGTTGGGTTGGTTTCTTGCGATCTAATTCCCGAAGACGAACATGATGCGGTGCAACTATTATTTAGAGAAAGAAGAGAACTTTTCGGAGGAGTAAATGGTAAACATCAACAGATTGGGGTAAAGGCGGGACCGGCTTGGGGTTCGATGTCACACTCTGGAGGTCCCATCACGTACAGTGGAGGTGCTGGTGTGAATACTCCGGGGGTAAGTAGAGAAAATACATTAATAAAGATAAATTTCCATAGGTACCTATACAACTAGTAAGAGTTTTCCTTTTCCTTTTAAATATATTTAGGGTCATGGATTATCTGGAAGTCTTTCTCATACTCCGGGAATAGGTGGACAAGGGTCAGTTAGAGGAACCGTTGGTCTAGTCAATACCCCAAATCATCAAGCTTCAGCTTGGGCCCAACACGACAGGAATTTTGATAGACATATGCATCGACTTGGACCCGAAACAAACAGTGCTGGACTTAATTATCAACATGGCAGTGGAGGTAATGCTTTCCTTAGTGGATCAAAAACTCCAGGATTCCCGTCCAGAGGAACCGTAGGAGGATCTGCGCCAATTCATACCGGAAGAGATTCCAGTTTGTCGGTTTCTGGACAGACAACTTTTGGCCATGGAATGAAACCTGACCATCAAGTTGGCTTATCATACGAGAAGAAATTCTAAGACTTTATTTTAAATGCATTTATTTATCTTTTTATTGTATCTTCTCTATTTTTATGTTTATCGATTTTGTTTTATGTGTACATGTTTTGCTTTGTTTGTTTTTGAAATATATAGACCATATTAACATAATCAGCTCCAATTTATTTATCTTTTTTTTGGAAGTAGCAATTGAAGATTTATCATCATAAGGTCGTCAGTTCTAAGACTGGTAGGACATATACCTCCACTCCTTCCTATCCTGAATTAATCTTCGTATTTCCCTAAAACTAGAAAAACTCACATCCTTAACTCTTAACTCCTATATCTGCCTCTAATATGTCTGACTAAAACTAAAGTGTCCTGCCAACCTATTCCGCCTATGTCTTATTGACTTCTATAGAGTCCTCTGTTTTCCTATTCTTTCTAATATCTCTTCACTTCTAACCTTCTCCATCCACGGTATCCTCATTATTCGCCTGTAACACCGCATTTTGAACGCTTCCAACCTTTTCTTTTTCGCCGCGCACGCCGTCCATGTTTCGCACCCGTATAGCGCCGCACTCCAAACATACACTTTTAGTGGATGGAAAATTGAAAATGAATTTTCACATTAATATAACGAATACACAAAATTCCACATTTTAGCGTTTAAAGAACCCAACTTTCCTAACTAAGAATTCATTGCATATAAAAAACTTGATTTAGGTAGGTAGGGCACCTCTTCAGGCATGAAGGACTAGTCAGAAACAAAAGCAGAAACAGGAGTTAAGAGGAGTAGAGGTAGACCTAGATTAGATTATTGTTCACGAATAGTTAAGGATGTTCTAGTTCAAGGGAAATACTAGGATTAGCTCAGCATGGGAAATAGTGGAGACGCATGTCCAAACAGTCTTAGGATTAACGACCTTATGATGTTGATGATGTATCCTATAAATGTTGCCAATCAGTTTTTAGTCAGTTCGTATTGCATATTTAGCTATAGACTAAAACAATTTAGAAAGAAACATCGAACTGTGCGACCAAGAGATTATTTATTACCTTGTAAAATAAAAACTCTCCACTCTGCTATAGCCTATAAGTGACTTGCTGACCTTTCAGTATTAGAAAGCACTAAGGAGAACTACAAAGCTTTTCAATTTGATTGATTCTTTTACATTAATCCCGAAGAAAAATTCTTGAAAAGATTGAGTCCAAATAAATGCATTTTGCAATAATTATGCTATTATTTTTGATCACTAGTGTTTTACATGACAAACATTGAACAAAAGTTGAAAGTTGCATGCACATAAAAAATTATAAAGAAAGCTTTCTTATCAGGGAATACTATTTAGTAAAAATCCATGAGCTTCTCCCTCGACATCTCTCTCTCTCTATCTATATCGAATGTCTATTTTTTTGTGTGTATATTATGCGATTTCGTCGCCAATTATGAACCAACTTCAACAATCCTTTTCTTATTAAGTAGAGCCTGAAGTTGTATCTCAAGGGTGGTTCCATTTAGATTTGAAGAAAATATTCCAGCTCTTGGGATGCAAAATTAGGGAATGATATCTGTTTAGTGTCTTATATTTATATTGCGTATACATTACTTTATAATGTACATACTTCGTAAAAAACAACTATTTATATGTCTAATTATCATACATTCTAACAGAACAAACATTTTCGAGGTTTTATTTTAGAAATGAAATGAAAATACTAGATACTCAAAGCAAATTGAATATCATATTGTTTCTGATCTCCAATCAACTGCAACAAAATTGTTATAGGAAGTTCTTCTATGTTTATAGAACTACTATTTCAGAAATACATTTTTTAATACTTAGATTCTTTAATTCCTTTTAATCTAAGTGTATATTATAATATTACATTGATTTAAATAATCCTTTCGAATATTTTGTAGGGTATGGTAATGTGTAATGTATAAACAATTTTAAATTTTCAGTAAATAATTTTTATTTTATATTTAAAAGTAATCTACAAAAATTATATTGAGCAATAAATAGACATTTTGATCACTAATCAATTCTAGAATGTTTTTTGGTATGTAAGTCCAACTTGATGATCGGGTTTCATTCCTTGTCCAAAGTTTGTTTGGCCGGACACAGATAAATCGCGGTTCAATGGTATCGATCCACCAACGGAACCGGTTGATGGAAAACCAGGGGTTTTCGATCCGCTAAGGAATGCATTTGCCCCGCTGCCGTGCTGATAATTAAGTCCGGCACTGTTCGTTTCTGGACCAAATCGACGCATATGTCTGTCGAAATTCCTGTCGTGTTGGGCCCATCCAGATAATTGATGGTTTGGGGTGTTGACAAGACCCACGGTTCCTCTAACAGATCCTTGTCCTCCAATTCCTGGAGTATGAGACAGACTTCCCGATAAACCGTGGCCCTAAAACAGATGAAATAATTTTTAAGTAAAAATATTTTCAATATGGCTTCCAGATTATAATACTTACAGCTGGTGAATTGACTCCAAGTCCTCCACTATAAGTGATGGGACCTCCAGAATGGGATAATGAACCCCATGCAGGTCCAGCTTTGTATCCAATTTGTTGGTGTCTCCCATCTTTACCACCAAACAACTGTCTTCTTTCTCTTACCAAAGGTTGCTCGTAAATAACTTCTTCAATATTGTCGTCTTCATCTTCTTCTTCTTGAACATCTTCAAATGCTTCTCTGCGTTCTCTCGGGTGATATTCGTCCAAGTCCATTACTTCATATAATTCTTGTTCCTGAGGATGGTAATCTTCATCGTAGGTGTCGGAAGTTGGATAAGATGAAACGAATCCAAAAACGAAGACAACTAATAACAACGAAGTTATAGTTTTCAAAGACATTTTTATAGCAGAGTGGTAGTTTTTACTGTATACTATGTATGCAAAGGACTAAACCTGATGCTGAACTGAAGACAGATGCTACTTTTAAACCTATTTATACTCGAGCACCATTGTTTGAAAAAACGGTCTAACGATATTCCGCGTGGAATAAGGGATTGCCCTGTTTTAACGACTGAATGTATTCGAGGGGATTTACAAATGATCTGAATAGGTACTTTACAAGAATATGTTTTTCAGAAACTGCGATAAATCCATTCAGAAATAAAAGTGCTTTTTTCTATCGTTTTGGAGTTCCCCTTTTCCTACGTTTAGCCATTTAAAATTAAAGTCCTTGTTGTCTTGTCTCGTCAAGAAATAACGATTAATTAATTGTGCTGACCCAACAGGTCATTGCTATCACGGTGAAGTACGAGAGGCTGGGAATTTCTGTAGACGATGAGTTATTTTTGTTACATTTATCAAAGTATATTCGCAAGACTTTTCTAATATAGTTTAAAAAATAGAATAATAATGGTCATATGAAATTTAAACTGTTATAGGAATTTTACTGTAATTGGAAATTATTTATTTGCCAACATAGTGTCCGATATAGATCAAATTTTATTTCTTTGTTTTAAAGAGACTTCAAATATTTTTGATAAGTTTTTTAATTATAAATAAATTTGTTTTAGTATTTACTACTTAACCACTATAAAATCCCTGATTTTGATAATCCCTTAGAGCAGGGGTGCCAACTTTTCTGTATGTAAGATTTAGTTTTTATCTTAAAAGTGTGTCGCGATCGACCAAAAGTCATCTCGTGATCGATCTGTCGATAGCGATCGAGTTATTGGCTACCCCTGCCCTAGAGTATTAATTTAAATCGAAAAAATATATTTTTTTTCTGCTTCTAAAATTTTGTCCTAAAGTTTTAAAGTCCTAATAGATAAAAAAACTCGAACTCGTTCTTATATTTTAATAAAAGTGAATTGAAAAAAGTTGTAAAATCCACAAGTACATAGACAAATGTTTTATTAACTCGTTAATCTTCGTCATCGTCGTCAGATTCGTCCATAACGCCCTTCCTTTTTACCAAGTGAACGGTTTCAGCTTCTAATGCTAGTTTTCTAATGTTTGTCAAACATCCTGCGGATGCTTCCTGAAGATCCTTGTCTGTAGAAGCGACGGTTTTCAACAGGAAGTTGACAACACCACTTTCGTGCATTGTTACGCAGTTGAAGTAGTTTTCAGACAAATGGAACAAAGCAAGAGCAGCACTACGTTTAACAAGAGGATTTTCCGATGTCATGTATCCTACCAACGGAGTTATAGCCCCCAATCTGTAAACAAAAATAGCAAGGGCTTCAATAAAGGATTAGTAAATTCGCAGTCTTTAGTGAATCGTACTACTTCTATGGGACTCAAAAGGAGCGAATATAAAGATAGGAGACGAAAAATTAAAAGAAGTGGCTGATTTTAGATATCTAGGAAGTCAGATAAGTCAGAACGGAAGGAGTAGTAGGGATATACAGCAGAGGATAGCGCAGGGTCGTGTCGCCTTTAATAAAAAGAAGTCACTTCTATGCTCGCGAACGGTTAATTTAGAAATTCGAAANAGAAGATGTCCTACCAACTTATCTCGTCTATTTGTTATTGGTTAAACTATAGGTACAAATCTAAACACATTTTGATTGAAACTTTTAAAACTAATAGTTCACAAGCTTACTGGAAAATTACGAAATAGTTTACGTTTATACAAGTGCTGCTATAAAAGTGCAACACGAATGTAAACTTTAAATTATCGTTGTTAAAATTAATATATCTTACAATTAAGCAGAATAAACATGGACATCAATAAAACTAGTGAAAGTGTTTGATTTTATTCGTAAAACGCATTGATGGAATTTTACAGGACTTCCTTATAAAATTCTCGTACATTCACCTTTTAATTAACATCTGAAATACATTCATTTTTTATGGTTGGTACATAAAAAAATAGTATGTCGTACATTATGGGATACCTATATATACCTATTGGTTTCATTAAAAACTCGTAAATGTATTCAATAATACAGGATTTTTTTAATAATTCAACAGATTTTTTGTTTTTAATCGTAAAATTGCCTAACCTCTAATTACGCACCATGAAAATTGTATGGTACGATAAAAATAAAATTACTTTGCTTCCTCTCATTATTGAAAAAACATTATTTCTTTACGTTTGCTTGTAAGTAATGATTATAAATTTTGCTTATTACTAATAACACAAATGTTACGTTGTCTATTTATTCTGGTTAATTAGTGGAATCGAAACCACTTAAAAAACCATTAACAGACACATCAACCTTTGTTATTCATCGTTTGCTCGTTAAATAGTATATTTGACTGTGTATTTGAAATGCTGTAGACTACAAGGTAAAGTTCCAGCTACTATTAAGGAGTACTGAGAAACTGAGACGCTTTTTCACCGAAAACTGTAAAACTTACTAAAAACAAAACATAGGTATATATCTTTGTAATTGTGTAACATGTTCGTTTAATTAGAGTTTAAAAATTATATTACACGCCATTAAATGATGGTTATTAATGCAAGTTTTCATTAACAGTACTGGATAACCGGGTACATGGTATTAGCTGTTAGATTTATTTTAATCTCACATTTAAGTCACTTCTACGCTCGCGAGCGATTAATTTAGAAATTCGAAAAAGATTGTTAAAGGTGTCTAGACGCTGTACGGGTGCGAAACATAGACGATGGTCGCAGCGAAAAGAGAAAAAGTTGAAAGCGTTCGAAATGTGGTGTTACCTACAAATGATGAGGATACTGTGGATGGAGAAGGTTAGAAATGAAGAGGCATTAGATAGAAAAGGAGAATAGAGGACTCTATCGAAGTTAATAAAAAAGAGGCAAGATAGGTAGGTAGGACACTTTCTCATGCATGAAGGTCCGATGAGAGACATATTAGAGGCAGTACAAGAGGTAGACGTAGATTAGATTACTGTTCTCAAATGGTTAAGGATGTGGGATGTTCTAGTTTTATGGAAATGCGAAGATTAGCTCAGGATAGGAGTTGCATGTCCCACCAGTCTAAGAACTGACGACGATGATAAATCTTCAATTGCTAATCCCAAAAAAATAGATAAATAATTGGAGTTGATTATGTCAATATCGTCTATATATTTCAAAAACAAACAAAGCAAAACATGTACACATAAAACAAAATCGATAAACATAAAAATAGAGAAGATACAATAAAAAGATAAATAAATGCATTTAAAATAAAGTCTTAGAATTTCTTCTCGTATGATAAGCCAACTTGATGGTCAGGTTTCATTCCATGGCCAAAAGTTGTCTGTCCAGAAACCGACAAACTGGAATCTCTTCCGGTATGAATTGGTGCAGATCCTCCTACGGTTCCTCTGGACGGGAATCCTGGTGTTTTTGATCCACTAACGAAAGCATTACCTCCACTGCCATGTTGATAATTAAGTCCAGCACTGTTTGTTTCGGGTCCAAGTCGATGCATATGTCTATCAAAATTCCTGTCGTGTTGGGCCCAAGCTGAAGCTTGATGATTTGGGGTATTGACTAGACCAACGGTTCCTCTAACTGACCCTTGTCCACCTATTCCCGGAGTATGAGAAAGACTTCCAGATAATCCATGACCCTAAATATATTTAAAAGAAAAAGGAAAACTCTTACTAGTTGTATAGGTACCTATGGAAATTTATCTTTATTAATGTATTTTCTCTACTTACCCCCGGAGTATTCACACCAGCACCTCCACTGTACGTGATGGGACCTCCAGAGTGTGACATCGAACCCCAAGCCGGTCCCGCCTTTACCCCAATCTGTTGATGTTTACCATTTACTCCTCCGAAAAGTTCTCTTCTTTCTCTAAATAATAGTTCATGTTCGTCTTCGGGAATTAGATCGCAAGAAACCAACCCAACTGTTAAAACAACCAAAAATAGAGACACTGTTTGAGGTGACATTTTGTAATAGACTTGAGAACTCTTGCTGTAAACTGCACCAGGATTTGGATTTACGAACTATTTATACTGTTCGCATTCGCGAATAAAAAATAACGAAGAATCCCCTTAACTGGACATTCCCGTTGGTTATCTGAATTGGTCACGCATGCTTAGCAATATTATTAATACTTTTTGCAAGGGAATCACCAATTGATTGTTGAAGTAAATAAATAACAGTAAAAAAGCCATCCGTGTGATGACCTCAGACGTCTTTATCAACTTAACAGTTGCATTAAATTTAACGAATACATACAATTCTTAGAAACACCAACGAGAAAAGTTTTGCAATTCAAAAAATACCCGATGCATAAAAAGAATAGCCTCTACCTCAAACTACCTCAGGTGAATAAGGGAAAATTCGTAAAGCCAAAGGTCCCTCTTAAACCTGAGGTAGTTTGTAGTGGATGAAAAATTGAAAATGAATTTTCACATTAATATTTCATATTAACCACTATTAATAATTAAAAATGTCTTGGTGTTTTAGTGTTTTAGTTAGGATACATTATCAGAGAATAAATTAAGTTAAATAAGTGCATTATAATTTTGATATGTTGTCCTTTAGTCTAAAAATGCGTATTTTCCGAAAAAAAAGTGTCTATTATTGCATATATTTTAACGCCTTAATTTTCAGGTCATGATGTTAATGCAACTGTTAAGTTGATAAAACGTCTGAGGTCATCACACTGATGGCTTTTTTACTGTTATTTATTTACTTCAACAATCAATTGGTGATTCCCTTGTAAAATGTATTCATAATATTGTTAAGCACGCGTGACCAATTCAGATAACCAACGGGAATGTCCAGTTAAGGGGATTCTTCGTTATTTTTTATTCGCGAATGCGACCAGTATAAATAGTTCGTAAATCTAAATCCTGCTACAGTTTAATGCAAGAGCTCTCAAGTATATTACAAAATGTCACCTCAAACAGTGTCTCTATTTTTGGTTGTTTTAACAGTTGGGTTGGTTTCTTGCGATCTAATTCCCGAAGACGAACATGATGCGGTGCAACTATTATTTAGAGAAAGAAGAGAACTTTTCGGAGGAGTAAATGGTAAACATCAACAGATTGGGGTAAAGGCGGGACCGGCTTGGGGTTCGATGTCACACTCTGGAGGTCCCATCACGTACAGTGGAGGTGCTGGTGTGAATACTCCGGGGGTAAGTAGAGAAAATACATTAATAAAGATAAATTTCCATAGGTACCTATACAACTAGTAAGAGTTTTCCTTTTTCTTTTAAATATATTTAGGGTCATGGATTATCTGGAAGTCTTTCTCATACTCCGGGAATAGGTGGACAAGGGTCAGTTAGAGGAACCGTTGGTCTAGTCAATACCCCAAATCATCAAGCTTCAGCTTGGGCCCAACACGACAGGAATTTTGATAGACATATGCATCGACTTGGACCCGAAACAAACAGCGCTGGACTTAATTATCAACATGGCAGTGGAGGTAATGCTTTCCTTAGTGGATCAAAAACTCCAGGATTCCCGTCCAGAGGAACCGTAGGAGGATCTGCGCCAATTCATACCGGAAGAGATTCCAGTTTGTCGGTTTCTGGACAGACAACTTTTGGCCATGGAATGAAACCTGACCATCAAGTTGGCTTATCATACGAGAAGAAATTCTAAGACTTTATTTTAAATGCATTTATTTATATTTTTATTGTATCTTCTCTATTTTTATGTTTTTCGATTTTGTTTTATGTGTACATATTTTGCTTTGTTTGTTTTTGAAATATATAGACCATATTAACATAATCAGCTCCAATTTATTTATCTTTTTTTTGGAAGTAGCAATTGAAGATTTATCATCATAAGGTCGTCAGTTCTAAGACTGGTAGGACATATACCTCCACTCCTTCCTATCCTGAATTAATCTTCGTATTTCCCTAAAACTAGAAAAACTCACATCCTTAACTCTTAACTCCTATATCTGCCTCTAATATGTCTGACTAAAACTAAAGTGTCCTGCCAACCTATTCCGCCTATGTCTTATTGACTTCTATAGAGTCCTCTGTTTTCCTATTCTTTCTAATATCTCTTCACTTCTAACCTTCTCCATCCACGGTATCCTCATTATTCGCCTGTAACACCGCATTTTGAACGCTTCCAACCTTTTCTTTTTCGCCGCGCACGCCGTCCATGTTTCGCACCCGTATAGCGCCGCACTCCAAACATACACTTTTAGTGGATGGAAAATTGAAAATGAATTTTCACATTAATATAACGAATACACAAAATTCCACATTTTAGCGTTTAAAGAACCCAACTTTCCTAACTAAGAATTCATTGCATATAAAAAACTTGATTTAGGTAGGTAGGGCACCTCTTCAGGCATGAAGGACTAGTCAGAAACAAAAGCAGAAACAGGAGTTAAGAGGAGTAGAGGTAGACCTAGATTAGATTATTGTTCACGAATAGTTAAGGATGTTCTAGTTCAAGGGAAATACTAGGATTAGCTCAGCATGGGAAATAGTGGAGACGCATGTCCAAACAGTCTTAGGATTAACGACCTTATGATGTTGATGATGTATCCTATAAATGTTGCCAATCAGTTTTTAGTCAGTTCGTATTGCATATTTAGCTATAGACTAAAACAATTTAGAAAGAAACATCGAACTGTGCGACCAAGAGATTATTTATTACCTTGTAAAATAAAAACTCTCCACTCTGCTATAGCCTATAAGTGACTTGCTGACCTTTCAGTATTAGAAAGCACTAAGGAGAACTACAAAGCTTTTCAATTTGATTGATTCTTTTACATTAATCCCGAAGAAAAATTCTTGAAAAGATTGAGTCCAAATAAATGCATTTTGCAATAATTATGCTATTATTTTTGATCACTAGTGTTTTACATGACAAACATTGAACAAAAGTTGAAAGTTGCATGCACATAAAAAATTATAAAGAAAGCTTTCTTATCAGGGAATACTATTTAGTAAAAATCCATGAGCTTCTCCCTCGACATCTCTCTCTCTCTATCTATATCGAATGTCTATTTTTTTGTGTGTATATTATGCGATTTCGTCGCCAATTATGAACCAACTTCAACAATCCTTTTCTTATTAAGTAGAGCCTGAAGTTGTATCTCAAGGGTGGTTCCATTTAGATTTGAAGAAAATATTCCAGCTCTTGGGATGCAAAATTAGGGAATGATATCTGTTTAGTGTCTTATATTTATATTGCGTATACATTACTTTATAATGTACATACTTCGTAAAAAACAACTATTTATATGTCTAATTATCATACATTCTAACAGAACAAACATTTTCGAGGTTTTATTTTAGAAATGAAATGAAAATACTAGATACTCAAAGCAAATTGAATATCATATTGTTTCTGATCTCCAATCAACTGCAACAAAATTGTTATAGGAAGTTCTTCTATGTTTATAGAACTACTATTTCAGAAATACATTTTTTAATACTTAGATTCTTTAATTCCTTTTAATCTAAGTGTATATTATAATATTACATTGATTTAAATAATCCTTTCGAATATTTTGTAGGGTATGGTAATGTGTAATGTATAAACAATTTTAAATTTTCAGTAAATAATTTTTATTTTATATTTAAAAGTAATCTACAAAAATTATATTGAGCAATAAATAGACATTTTGATCACTAATTAATTCTAGAATGTTTTTTGGTATGTAAGTCCAACTTGATGATCGGGTTTCATTCCTTGTCCAAAGTTTGTTTGGCCGGACACAGATAAATCGCGGTTCAATGGTATCGATCCACCAACGGAACCGGTTGATGGAAAACCAGGGGTTTTCGATCCGCTAAGGAATGCATTTGCCCCGCTGCCGTGCTGATAATTAAGTCCGGCACTGTTCGTTTCTGGACCAAATCGACGCATATGTCTGTCGAAATTCCTGTCGTGTTGGGCCCATCCAGATAATTGATGGTTTGGGGTGTTGACAAGACCCACGGTTCCTCTAACAGATCCTTGTCCTCCAATTCCGGGAGTATGAGACAGACTTCCCGATAAACCGTGGCCCTAAAACAGATGAAATAATTTTTAAGTAAAAATATTTTCAATATGGCTTCCAGATTATAATACTTACAGCTGGTGAATTGACTCCAAGTCCTCCACTATAAGTGATGGGACCTCCAGAATGGGATAATGAACCCCATGCAGGTCCAGCTTTGTATCCAATTTGTTGGTGTCTCCCATCTTTACCACCAAACAACTGTCTTCTTTCTCTTACCAAAGGTTGCTCGTAAATAACTTCTTCAATATTGTCGTCTTCATCTTCTTCTTCTTGAACATCTTCAAATGCTTCTCTGCGTTCTCTCGGGTGATATTCGTCCAAGTCCATTACTTCATATAATTCTTGTTCCTGAGGATGGTAATCTTCATCGTAGGTGTCGGATGTTGGATAAGATGAAACGAATCCAAAAACGAAGACAACTAATAACAACGAAGTTATAGTTTTCAAAGACATTTTTATAGCAGAGTGGTAGTTTTTACTGTATACTATGTATGCAAAGGACTAAACCTGATGCTGAACTGAAGACAGATGCTACTTTTAAACCTATTTATACTCGAGCACCATTGTTTGAAAAAACGGTCTAACGATATTCCGCGTGGAATAAGGGATTGCCCTGTTTTAACGACTGAATGTATTCGAGGGGATTTACAAATGATCTGAATAGGTACTTTACAAGAATATGTTTTTCAGAAACTGCGATAAATCCATTCAGAAATAAAAGTGCTTTTTTCTATCGTTTTGGAGTTCCCCTTTTCCTACGTTTAGCCATTTAAAATTAAAGTCCTTGTTGTCTTGTCTCGTCAAGAAATAACGATTAATTAATTGTGCTGACCCAACAGGTCATTGCTATCACGGTGAAGTACGAGAGGCTGGGAATTTCTGTAGACGATGAGTTATTTTTGTTACATTTATCAAAGTATATTCGCAAGACTTTTCTAATATAGTTTAAAAAATAGAATAATAATGGTCATATGAAATTTAAACTGTTATAGGAATTTTACTGTAATTGGAAATTATTTATTTGCCAACATAGTGTCCGATATAGATCAAATTTTATTTCTTTGTTTTAAAGAGACTTCAAATATTTTTGATAAGTTTTTTAATTATAAATAAATTTGTTTTAGTATTTACTACTTAACCACTATAAAATCCCTGATTTTGATAATCCCTTAGAGCAGGGGTGCCAACTTTTCTGTATGTAAGATTTAGTTTTTATCTTAAAAGTGTGTCGCGATCGACCAAAAGTCATCTCGTGATCGATCTGTCGATAGCGATCGAGTTATTGGCTACCCCTGCCCTAGAGTATTAATTTAAATCGAAAAAATATATTTTTTTTCTGCTTCTAAAATTTTGTCCTAAAGTTTTAAAGTCCTAATAGATAAAAAAACTCGAACTCGTTCTTATATTTTAATAAAAGTGAATTGAAAAAAGTTGTAAAATCCACAAGTACATAGACAAATGTTTTATTAACTCGTTAATCTTCGTCATCGTCGTCAGATTCGTCCATAACGCCCTTCCTTTTTACCAAGTGAACGGTTTCAGCTTCTAATGCTAGTTTTCTAATGTTTGTCAAACATCCTGCGGATGCTTCCTGAAGATCCTTGTCTGTAGAAGCGACGGTTTTCAACAGGAAGTTGACAACACCACTTTCGTGCATTGTTACGCAGTTGAAGTAGTTTTCAGACAAATGGAACAAAGCAAGAGCAGCACTACGTTTAACAAGAGGATTTTCCGATGTCATGTATCCTACCAACGGAGTTATAGCCCCCAATCTGTAAACAAAAATAGCAAGGGCTTCAATAAAGGATTAGTAAATTCGCAGTCTTTAGTGAATCGTACTACTTCTATGGGACTCAAAAGGAGCGAATATAAAGATAGGAGACGAAAAATTAAAAGAAGTGGCTGATTTTAGATATCTAGGAAGTCAGATAAGTCAGAACGGAAGGAGTAGTAGGGATATACAGCAGAGGATAGCGCAGGGTCGTGTCGCCTTTAATAAAAAGAAGNAGGGATATAAAGCAGAGGATAGCGCAGGGTCGTGTCGCCTTTAATAAAAAGAAGTCACTTCTATGCTCGCGAACGGTTAATTTAGAAATTCGAAAAAGGTTGTTAAAGGTATATGTTTGGAGCGCGGCGTTGTAAGGGTGCGAAACATGGACAGTTAACGCGGCGGAAAAGAAAAGGTTAGAAGCGTTCGAAATGTGGTGTTACAGGAGAATGATGAGGATACCGTGGACAGAGAAGTTTAAAAATGAAGAGATATTAGAAAGAGTAGGAGAACAGAGGAATCTATGGAAGTCAATAAGAAATAGGCGAGATAGGTTAGTAGGACACCTTCTCAGACATGAAGGTCTGGTGAGAGACATATTAGAGGCAGAAACAGGAGTTAGGAGGGGTAGAGGTAGACCCAGATTAGATTACTGTTCGCAAATAGTTAAGGATGTGGGTTGTTCTAGTTTTAGGGAAATGCGAAGTTTATCTCAGGATAAGAAAGAGTGGAGAAACGTGTCCAAGCAGTCTTAAGACTGACCTTGTGATGATGATGATGAACTTAAATTACAAAGCATTGTGCCAAAGAACGCCTGAAAAGTGTTCTTCCCTTAGACGTTTAAATTACTTTTCTTTGGAGGGTCGGTTTGCTAAAAATTTTAATCGATAAAATCAAAAACGTATTACGACGTAATTTGCTAAGAAGGTTCGAAATTTCCATTACCGAGATGTTCCAGCAGGATTACTTTTTAGTGCCTCACCCATTATAAAATGTAAACGCATATTTTCGAAAATTGGTTTTTATCAGACGTCAATGAAATGACAGAAACATCTCACGTACTTTGCTAATTAGTTCAATTTGTTTGAGATGAGCTTTTTGGTAACATAGGTTTGGCATCGATTCAAATCCCATTAGCTCATATAACGATCTTTTTACGCCGGTCACATTATTAACGATCCTAGCGTTAAATGAAGTAAAATAAGTCAAAGATTATATTGCTAGATAGCATCAATATCAGCGTTCATCTTGTTCATCTATTTATTATTTGTGATGATTTAATAACCAGGAATTTTATATTGTTGTTGGAGCATACGTAATTCTAAAATGAAGCATCGTACTACAGATGGCGTTTACCGCGCCGTTTGTGGTATTTTCTAAAATGCACTGTTAAGATAGCAGGTAAAAGTTGGTCTGTGTTCTGTCGGTGCTGTCTGCGACGTGCTGATGAGATCCAAAAAGATCGAACTCGCGATCCGCGTCTACCAGTTTCGACAGAATACAGACCACTTGGATTTTTTTTTAGTATTTTTTACTGTTTATATTTGATGCACGTTTAATATGTAATTGATTGATATTACATTTTTAGTTCAAGTTGTGCAATTCATGCACTTTACTTCATAGAATATTACATAGTTGTTTAATAGGTGCTTGTAGTAATTCGTACGCGCTCTTCAATTTCAGATTCAATAATTAAATTTCCTTTTTATACATGCCATAAAATAATCTGTTTGGGTAGATATTGGCTTGATTAATTGGGAATTGGGATTTTACCTTCCAAAATCTTTCCTGTTTGACCCCCAACTGCAACAATATGCAACTGCATATCCCAGATATTCTTTAAGGGTATCAGAGTCTGTTTTAACGTGGTTAACAAGCAGTGGTACTACGCCATGGTCAGATATGACTCCTAAGTTTTCCCTATCTTGGGCTATTTCTGATATTGCAGCACAAACGGCAGCAAGAACTTCTGTATTTTTGGATTCCAACAATCTTACTACAATCTCCAAACCACCAACGAAACTTCTTACCATTTCACCGGAATCGTAACTGTATTTTACACATGGAACCAACGCCCATGCAGCGTTTGTTTGAACCTGAAAGGAGCTTTTCTCTACACCTCCTTAAAACCATTTTAGTATGTAGTACTGAAGTAATTGTTTACTTACCCTAGGGGAGGGATTTTTTAACAAAGACCAAATCAGTCTGACTCCGTCTAAATCCTCGATGATCCTCATCGATCCGTCTTCTTTGGCAGATTCTCTTAAAACCATTGGTACATTTTCAAGCAGCGGAGGATACGTGTAATTGAGAAGATTCACTAGGTATGGTATACCTCCAGCTCTCCTCAATGTCTCTCTGTTATGTTCAAATTTGAGACATTCGTGCAGTGCACCGACGACATTACTTAGTACTTGTTCGCTTTCATCGACGTCTTGTAAAAGATTCACTAACGCCTGTGGAATTAATTAGGTACGGTACTTTCCGTCGTGTTTTTAACAAGTTTTAGAATTAAAAAACTATTGTAAAGAAACCTAACAAAAATACGTACATGTATGGTGCTTAATTGGTCATATCTTTCCACATTCTCTGGACTAATTGCCGTTTTCCAAATAGCTCCAGTCACAGCGGCTAACAGAGGCTTGTCCAGTTTAGTGGCAGGATTCTTGACCATCCCCACTAAAGGATCCAATCCGCCAGACTGCCGGACGACATCTCTCGTAATCGGGTTTTCGGAACATTTGAAAATTGTTTCAGCTGCATATCTTCTCAAATCTGCAAATTCCTGGAGTACACGTAATTTAATAAGGAGATACTCCCGAAGAGCACTTAGCTCTGAACACTCACAGTTGATAATTGTTTTACTACATCCGAGACCATTCCTTCCGTTTGTATCGCCAACTGGAAGTCTGGATCGTTGGAACAATTCGATAGAGTACCAACTGTGGGAATGACCACATCCATATGTATACTCCTTTAAAGAAACCCTTTTCACTTTATATTCATTACAACTATTCTAGAACCTTTTTCTTGTTTCTCGGTGATTTGAAGAATAAAAAATAAAATGTTTTAACGTAAACGTAAAACTAAACAGTGATCCAAACCTTCGAATTGCAACTCATAAGTAAGTACAATAACGCAAAAGAACAACCAACCAATTTCCAAAACAAATTAGAAAAAGAAGATGAAAAACAAAACCAAAATAATAACTGTGCCCTTGACCTTTTACCTTAATAGTCTTGCCAGCAATGGTACTGCTCCAGATTCCATCATAAGCTTAACACTCTTTATACTTCGTGAAACTGACCACAAACCTCGAGCACCTGACATAGCAATTTTAACGGATTCTTTTTCATCAGCATTAAGCTCGGCCATGGGGGTAAGAAGACAGTTTTCGGGGACGTCCATTAGGTCGATAAGTCTCGGAATGCCACCTGTTTTCCTTACATGTTTCCGAGCTTTATGAATCTGGGCAACGTTGTGTATCGTTTCTGCTACCAAAATTTGCAAATCCCTAGCGGGATAGCACAAGTTTTCTGATAAAAGAGATACTCCACCAAGGTCAGTGATTCTTCTTTTTATTTCGACACTCTGGGAGAGAACTTTGAGAATTTCTAAAGAGCCCAATTTACAATTCAAATCTTCTACCTCCAACAGGTTGATTAAAATTTCTAATCCTCCTACTTCCTACGAAGTTTAATTAAAAACTGTCAATAATTTATTACAAAAAAATAAAAAAAAACATATATATAGGTACATTATTATTACTAAGTCCCACGAAAAAAAAAACATTGCATATATTTACACTTGACAAAAATGTGTTATTTATACATTTTAGATGTGAAATATTAATTATGANTAAAGAGCCCAATTTACAATTCAAATCTTCTACCTCCAACAGGTTGATTAAAATTTCTAATCCTCCTACTTCCTACGAAGTTTAATTAAAAACTGATGAAAATAAATAAAATTTAATCAATAGAAATTGTATGCAAAGTAGGTGAAAACAGAGTTGAAGATAATATAAAAATTATAGGTAAAAAACTAGAAGAAATCTCCTATGATATTTCAGGAATTCTGCAGTCTGGTGTGCGTTTGTTGTGAAAATATAAATGTAATATTCATTACTACCAAAATTGCTGCTTGATTTATCTCTGTTGTCAAATCATGATCTTTCATGCAACATAATGAAACGACGGTAGCAGTTTGATTCCCAGTTTTCAAGTATTTCACCAACTTTTGAATGTGCCAGTATTCGGGAGGTATATCTTCTTTAGCTCGCTCTTTCGTAACTCGGTCTTCATCATCAACAGAGCTGAAATTTTTTTTCATATTTGTACCAAAGTATAAAAAACTGAGACATTCTATTATATCAAAAATTGTGACTTAATATCCTCTTTGGTTTCTGGACTTATTAGAAGATCTGTACGCACCTCGGAGGAGATGAATCGGGACTATCGGAGTATTCTTCGACAAAAACCTCTTTAGGGCCAATAACAACCTTTACTTCCGATTCACTGGAGTCAATAGACATTTTTTTAAATGTATCTCATGTAAATAGACGTGTGTCACTCTGACATCAATCGATTTCCTGTTCTAACTGCTCTAAAAATTAATTTAATTATCAACCCAAATATATAGGGTCTCAAACATATTTTTTTTATAATTTTAAAATAAATAGTTTTAAAGTTATTTAGGAAAATAGATGCAAATTGACCATCCGCCTTCGCTTTTCTCCGAAACTAGTGAACCTAAAATTTCGAGAAAAAATCAGAAAATCTGAACATAACGTATTTTTTTTTTAAACTACAATGTTATGTTGGTTCTCCAGTTAGGGTTCCGTACGTACGAATGAAAAACGAAACCCTTATAGAATCACTGGTGTGACTTTCTGTCTGTTTTTTTTTTTTTATAATTAAATCATCCTACGTATTTTATTTTAATTTTTCATTTCAGTTTCGAAGACAAGTAAAAGATGTTCTGCAACCACATCATGACGACGTTTTCTTACTGCGGTGGCTGAGGGGTGAGTTTATTGAGAAAATATTTAGTTTTTAAATAATTTTCCCTTTCCTTTTTAAAAATAATAATTCTACCTCCACATGATACTTTATTATGACTATAATGATTGAGAAATGTATTTTTAACATTTCCTGTCGTATAAATAAAAGAAGAAGCGTTAAGAAGTTTTTGTGTGAGTATTTTAATTGCAAATAGAGCTATTAAATCTATAGGTCTGTAAACTTTATAACACACCGACTAGCTATTACATAATTTTACAGTTACGAATAAGAAAGGGATAGTAAAAGCAGGAAGGAATATTTTAATCGATTTAGGTCGTCTCTTCAAGCATTCACAGCTATAAAGTTGTAAATCAAGTGCCGTTTTCAAGAGTTTTACAAGTGTTTATTTAAACATTTATGAAGCTACATTATTGACGTTTTCTCTTTCGAATACGTACGCACACGTAAATGTTGAATGCAAATGGCAAATGGTACCTATATACCTACTTCCTAAATGAACGAAACTGTTTTAAATCGACATCTTTATTTCTGTTTAGAAAGTGAATCATAAAATCTACGAATACCTAAATTGTTCTTACAGCTTTGTATTCATAACATTTTATTATATTTACTGTAAGCAGAAATAAAGGACTTTACTTCAAATTTCCCTGTATTGCATCATGATAACGAACTTAAAGTGTATTATTAATAGAAAAACAATTTAATTTTTAATTTTCATTTAATGAATTTGTTACCTACATATTCGTTCGTCTATTTGTAGCACGTTCCTGGAATGTAGAAGCTGCAGAAAAGATGTTACGTGAAGTAAGTTTTTCAAAAATGAAAATTTTCAGTAATTTACAATAATTTGAAAATGCATAACACATAAATAATATAAAACAATATTATAAACTGAAGATATAACTGCTGTTTAACCATTTTTTAGTCGTTACAATGGAGAAAACACTGGCAAGTAGATGATGATCTCAAAACATGGGAGCCACCAGAAGTTTTAAAACTGTATTATCCAAGTGGAACATGCGGATTAGATAATGATGGAGCTCCAGGTAAGTTAAAATTATTTTTTATCCAATTTGAAGTGCTCAATTTTATTTATTAAAATAGTTATTATATATATTTTCACTTAATACTTAGTGTCTTTCATTTTTAGTTATCGTAGTTCCATTTTCGGGACTAGACATCGTCGGGTTACTTCATTCAGTTAGTAAAAGTGATATGATTAGACTTACAATTAAAATTCTCGAAGAAAATATGGCTTTAGCTGCAAAATCTGGTGTAAACAAAGTGGTCGCTCTTATCGATATGGAAGGTTTTAATATAAGGCACTATGCCTGGCGTCCTGGTAAAATTTTTGCTTTATTTCAATAGAATAACAAATTACAAAATCTGTTTATTAATAATAATTACTTTTTCAGCCAGTGAATTTGTAATTTCGCTGATTCAAATGTACGAAGCGAATTATCCAGAAATACTTAAAGCGTGCTACATAATTAACGGTAATTTAGTACATGTTTTATTCCTCTAATAGTAAAATAACGAAAAAAAGGTTTATTTCAGCACCCCGGGTTTTCTCAGTGGCCTTTGCTGTTGTAAAGAGATTCCTAAACGATTATACCCTCGGTAAAATTCAGATATTTAAATCCGACCCCAAAAAATGGCAGAAAGCTGTCTTAGAAAATATTTCACCCGATCAACTTCCCAAACATTACGGGGGAACCATGGTTGATCCAGACGGAGATATTAAATGTCCTTCAAAGGTGCAATATTTATTATTCGATATTTTCACTAGTTACTTTCAGATATTTTTAATTAATGATAATAACGTTTTATTTTTTAGGTAAAACTTGGAGGAAAAATACCTAAATCGTATTATACGCAATCCTTTGATAAATGTTATACTCTTAACAGTGATAACAAAAATTTCAAATCGACTATCATAAAAAGTGGAAAAAAATTCAATATTGACTTCATTATAGCTGAAGATGGCTGCTTTCTGAGGTAAATAAATTTCTACTTACACATTAATATTACTGCATTTTAATCGTAATCATAATCATAATCATCAAGCAACATCACTATAATATTACGTATTTAAAAATATAATCATATCTCTAATACATGTTGTCACCATTAGTTACTCTTCTAACAGTGTAGTTGCTATGGTAAATTAATCAATATAGCGCCCAATAAAACAATTAAAATATGTATATATTTATATATATGTGACCTCATACATTTTATTACCCAGATGGGAGTTTTACACAGAAGACCATGACATCCGTTTTGGAATAACTCAAGAAGATTCGGAAGGTAATGTACATCCGGTAGTGCGTTATCATAGAGTAGCATCACACCAAGTTAATGAATCTGGAGTAATAGTATGCCAAGCGCCAGCTACATGTAAGCCGCTTTTAATTTATTTAATAATTTATTCAATTTTAATTGCAAACGCTATTAGTATTACGTAAGTATATATTATAATATTTTAAAATGCATAATCTAAAAAACGTTTATTGAAAGAAATGTTTTTATTTCTATCGAAAACTGCATTAAAATCGATTAAAAAATACGGTATTTATATACTTTCAATGTTTGGGTCATTAACCTGACCGAACGCCTGGCGCTTAACCGCATTCCGGAAAACCCCTACGCACGTGGTGCAGGTGTTCTGACCTAATTTCCTATTGGCTGCCGAATTGGCGCGGAGAGTGACCGCCAATCAAACACGTCGCAGCACTTTATAACAATTACACCTGTCTTTTCAAAGTTAGTAACCCCTGATGCGTTGGTGCGTGTACATCGTTCTAACAAATTTTATCTCATAATTACGTAAATTTATCTATGTAAGCTATTACAACTGCTTTTTATGATTACAAGAACTAATCGATTACAGTCGTACAATAAACAAAATACTTTTTCTTTTCAGATACAGTCGTTTTCGACAACAGTTACAGCTATATGAGGAACAAAAAATTATTTTACAACGTCTATGTAACAGACCCTCTAAGTAAACTCGATATTAGCTCGTTGCCCCTTGTAGAAGAGGTACCAGAGCAAATCGATGCGTCATTAAGAACTTCAAACAGGAATGAATCAAATAATAATTGTGTCCAACTTGAAAAAGCCTATTAATATTTCTCTAGAAATGTAATAGAAAATTTCATTAAGAGGGGTAGCTATTTTACTGCTTTTAGTTTTTGTTTCAATAAATTAATAATTAGGATTCAGAACCCATTTCTGTTTTTGTCTGTGACATCATATTTCATATAATTTATGGAGTACATAAGTTTGAATTTAATCCTTTTACATTCTTTATCTATTAATTGATATCCAGAATTTCATAAACATCACATAGTATTCTTTAAAGCGTTTATTTCGACTAAATCAAATAATATATTTAAACATATCATGTTTTAAAGATACAATACATTACATACAAGAATAAATTTTCTTAGTACATCTATTGTATATAATTGACAATGCACTGTAGACTTCGGTCTATGGCATATAACTTTCAGTCTTCATCATCAGTTAACAGCATTTCTACTAGTTCTTTCTTTTCACACTGATACCCTTCCAATTTTTGGGGCCCTTTCCACCTTATTAGAGTTGGTATAACTAATAAATTGGTCTCAGGATCTTTCCTAAATGAATTATTTATATCTTTCCAACTAAAAATAAGAAACAATTCATTTAAATTAAATACAAACAATTAAATTTTTCAGTAGTATCTTACATAGGTCTATCCCCTACTTCTACGTAGATTAAATGAGAACTTGTTTTTGTTGATACTAGTGCCTCCTGAAGTACAGGGTATGCTGAAAAGAAAATAAAAGCCGTTTTGACCTATTTCAAATATTAAAATTACTTGTTTTTATTAACAATGTACAAGAGTAGTAAAATTATTTAGCTTTATTTACCACGTTGACAATCCTCGCACCAGCTATTTCCTGAAGGTAATTTAGTGCCGGTAAAATAAACATGAATATTTTTACCATCACTATCAAAATCTGCCATAAATTTTTTAAAATCTTCGTATCCACTCACATGATGTTCTATAACCATTGTGGTTATATTTCAATAGAATAACAAATTACAAAATCTGTTTATTAATAATAATTACTTTTTCAGCCAGTGAATTTGTAATTTCGCTGATTCAAATGTACGAAGCGAATTATCCAGAAATACTTAAAGCGTGCTACATAATTAACGGTAATTTAGTACATGTTTTATTCCTCTAATAGTAAAATAACGAAAAAAAGGTTTATTTCAGCACCCCGGGTTTTCTCAGTGGCCTTTGCTGTTGTAAAGAGATTCCTAAACGATTATACCCTCGGTAAAATTCAGATATTTAAATCCGACCCCAAAAAATGGCAGAAAGCTGTCTTAGAAAATATTTCACCCGATCAACTTCCCAAACATTACGGGGGAACNTGGAGAAATAAGTTTTGACCCCAAAAGAAAACATTTGCTGTATTAAGATCGTAAAGGATTGATTTTCCCTTGATTATTATATTTTGTTGCAATGTGATATATAAATTTCGCTTTCTTTCCTTGAAAATCGAAGGAATTGTTCAAAAGTTCGTGTAGGTGTATGTCTTAAAAAAATAAGGATATAATTAAGATAGTATTAAGTACTAGTTGTTGTTTTAATTTCTCCTATGAGGCTTATATTTCTCCCAATTTCTGTGATTAACACTTCCAAAATCATCACAGTATTTTGCGAGGTTCTTAAGATACTTTGTTAAATGCAAAAGTTCCTTATCAGTATCTCTATTTAAATGAGCTTGCCGAAATGGTCGAATTCTTAATCCATTTCTTGGATTCATTATAAAATTTCTTCTTATATCATCAAACATTATCGTATTTTTGCTACTGTACTGTTCAAACTTGCCCCAAATCACTCCCAATGGTTTCACCTGAAAAATATCATATAAAAACGATTAATAAACTTGTTGTACACAAGAGAATACAGCTTACATCCAATAAGCCATATTTTGGAGTATGGACTGATATCATTGCTAGAGAATCTAAGTAAAATAAAATTTTATAGTTGGGATTTGTTGTCACACCCAAAAGTTTCATTTTTTCTTCTATCCATTTCATGCCAGTAGCAGACCATATCACAATATCATAATCTTCATAAGCTGATGTTAAAAATTCATGTAAATAAGGTCTCATTAGTTCAGCTCCTGTTTCAGCAACAGATCTATGATCAAAAAGTGTATAATCTATATCCAAAACTAGTAACTTCTTATTTGGTCTTGGTTCACTGAGCATTTTTATTTTATAGTCTTTTACCCTTTTCTCTACTTTTGCCAAGTACACTTCTCGATTCTCTATAGCTACTTCTTCATCTTCTATATCTAAATCATTAATTACTGGAGGCAAATCTGTTGGTGTTGTATTTACTTCTGCAATGTCTTCCTCTAAGGAGCCCATCATCATTAACTTGAAATTGGGCTTTAATTTCAAAAGACTTATTTTACAATCATCATCCGGAGTCTTTCCTAGAGTTACATATTATTAGTTTTAATAAATTAAATTTTCAAATGTGCTACCTTTTAATTTGAGGTTAAGCAACTTTTGCCTGTGAGAACGAACTCCTGTTTCTTTCTCAATAGCATTTTTCAAGTCGCTTATCGAATCATTATCTGTTACATCAATTGCATACTCTTTTCCGCTCCATTTAACTATAATTTTTGCAGCACTTTCTGTATCCATTACTTTTAATATCAAACAGCAACTAAAAGTTTATCAATTTATCAAATAACTCCATCACTCTTATTGTAATAATGCAGACTAAATGTTATACTTACAGAGTACGTTTATTACAGAAAAAAAACAAGATTTTTAAGAAAGATTTTCAGCACACTGCATTAACGTTAATAACAATAACAAATTAATTAATACTTTGACATTAGAGCAAAATAGTTCTAGTGTCTCAAGAAAGAAGTTCAAATAAAGAACGAGTTTGACAAATGTTTTGAAGTAACTAACCTCAACTGTTTGTAGTGTTGTTAATATTTGAATTACACTGTTTATTAATTAATTTCCTATCATTTTAATTAATTATCAACCAAAATGTACGACAGTGAGGGTGATAGTAGTGACAGTGAAATAGTTATAATGAAGAAATGTTTGGATGTTGAACTTCCACCAGACTTTGATCCAACAAAACCTCCAGAAACAGGTGCTACAAATAAAATATAACAGCAATTTATTATTAGTAATTTGTTACATTGATAATATAGGTGAAGAGTATGTCCAATATGTTATGTATGAAAGGAAGATGTGCAAGAAATGGGTTGTGGCAGAAAATATCAACAAGACTGAATTGGAAAAAAATCAAACCTTTTATGTGACAGTGGTAACTCCTAAATGTTCCTATTATTTGATTAGTTTGGCAAATTCATATTTGTTTATTGTTTTAGAATGAAGGTTGTGTTAAAGCCCCTGATTCAATGCTTCCTACAGAAGAGTGGCAATTAGAACAGTTAGAGAAGTTTTCAGAATTTCGAAAGTTTATAACTCCATCTGTCCCTGAAACCCCTGATGGAGAAGTAGTACATTTATCTCATTTATCAGAAAAGATGAAGAGTGACACCCCATCATTTTCAGAAATTGCAGAACTTTCACAAGGATCTAAATTAAAAGTATTAGATGTTATTTTGGATGAAATGGAAGATCTTCAAGTAGGTGAAACAATTTCATATAATACAGGAGTGTGGCTTTTTGGAATTCTGGCTACTTTAGCAATTCCATTAAGTCCACAGGCTTGTCATTCAATAAGAGAATTAGCCAGAAAATGTGCATATGTTAGATCTAATTTGCATAATAATTGCAGTTATGAAATTTATGGACCTCTTAATAGTTTTATTTGCATAGTAGCTAAGTATTTCAAACAATTAGATCTTGCTGACGTTTCTTATTAGATTAATTATCAATTTTTATATTTAATTCGTAAAATATACAATAAAATAGTTCATTGTGTTTTTGAAGACTTTTTAATACCTAATTAATAATTAATCTTAGTAAAGTCGAGAATTTAAAAAATTTGCAGTTAAAAAAATCTTAAATAGCTATTTTAAAAAGAATATTTTTTAAAATTTTTAAAGATGAATGTATGTTGTATTTAAAATTGTTCCGTATACTTTGGCTATCGACTACAAGATGTCTCTACTTTGTTAATCTTCGATAATAATTCAGAGGTGGCATGCGAATGAATAATCCACTGGAGAAATAAGTTTTGACCCCAAAAGAAAACATTTGCTGTATTAAGATCGTAAAGGATTGATTTTCCCTTGATTATTATATTTTGTTGCAATGTTGATATATAAATTTCGCTTTCTTTCCTTGAAAATCGAAGGAATTGTTCAAAAGTTCGTGTAGGTGTATGTCAGAAGAAAAAGTGAAAAATGATTAAAAGCCGGTCCTGATACATGGGTATTCAGACAACAGACGTCGCTTATGTTGCAATATCTGTTGTTGCTCTTAACCTGTTGCATTAAACAGGTATCGGAGTGCGGATTTTTTTTTGTTTATTTTTTAAAACATTCGTTTCGCGTCTAGTGCTTCGTAATAGTATCGTGGAAAATAAAGAGAACATTGGGTTTAGTACTACTCTTTGTGATAAACTTTCTTGATAATTTCACTTTCAATGTAAAAAAGAGGACAACATTGTTTTAGGTATGTAAAAAGATACAATTTTTACTCCAAGTTAGGTTCATTCCTGTTGTATTACCCTTATTATGTATATTTTATTATAGTGCAAATGTTTAATTCATAAATGTAATTAATACAAAAGTGCAACAACATCACGTTGAATAAAACGAAATTTCTAGATTATTTTCAAAACAATAATTTAGTCATAAGCTATATTTTAATATATTAATTAATTGTTAAAACAAATTAACATCTTTTTAATGCTCTGAATTAAAAACTGTCAATAATTTATTACAAAAAAATAAAAAAAAACATATATATAGGTACATTATTATTACTAAGTCCCACGAAAAAAAAACATTGCATATATTTACACTTGACAAAAATGTGTTATTTATACATTTTAGATGTGAAATATTAATTATGACTATCCCACAACTAATTCTTTGGTTTAAATATGTAATTACTGAAATGCTAGTAATACTATTAATATGGTAATCATAATCCAAAATTCAAATATTCGTTTTCGTTCTACGTAAAACATGCAAAAAGCAAATATAGACAATGTGTGTCTTGTGTTAAAGAGTACCTACATATAGTAATGTTTATTTTACCTCAAAAATTACGCTAATCTCTTCAATTTTTTATCACCAACGTAAAAAATTCTATGTGACAAGATTTCTAAACAATTTACAATCAACCAATTCAGTTTTTAACAGGATGGCATATAAAATATTACGAACTTAACCAGAGTATAAACAATAACATTTAAAAAGCGATTAACAAATTTTGTACCTGCAAGAAAACGATTAGGTGTAGGTACCTATTTCTCAGTTTTTCATAAAAAAAGGATATGACCCAATTACTGGTTAATCAATTTCATTGTAATCGTAAGATTAAGTTTTTAACGTAGCATTTAGATTTTCCAGTCATTTCAATGAATTTGCATTACATTAAAAATTAATTTGTAACGAAAAAAGTATCTACACAAATACGTAACAAAATATTTTCTGGCAGTTTAACACTTTTATCTGTATTTTTCGTTTACACTTGAATTAAAATATTTAGATAATGAGTTATGCTGTCACAACATTATTGAATCATTAAACCGTACGTACGATTAGTCATAATTCCTTTTTATATATTTATAAATTTTATTTAAAAAAAAAGGGTAAAAGATCTGCATATGAGCAGTACTTATACGCTATATCTTTTGAAAAGCAGCACTGTGCATTTCAACCGCTTAAAAACAAGCTACTTAAAACCCTTCAAGTAAAATAAGTTAATGGATAAGTAGCAGAAGGTTTAGCCACTTGAAATTATCAAGTACATATAATACTTGAAGTCGAGGACCATTAAAATTATAGCATGACTAAAACTACTCATATCCATCACATTCAACGTTAGATATTATTTATTATCTTAGGATCCCTTTACTTTTATTGGCTAAAATCAGGAGCTCTTAAATAGCTATTTTAAAAAGAATATTTTTTAAAATTTTTAAAGATGAATGTATGTTGTATTTAAAATTGTTCCGTATACTTTGGCTATCGACTACAAGATGTCTCTACTTTGTTAATCTTCGNAAGTAGCAGAAGGTTTAGCCACTTGAAATTATCAAGTACATATAATACTTGAAGTCGAGGACCATTAAAATTATAGCATGACTAAAACTACTCATATCCATCACATTCAACGTTAGATATTATTTATTATCTATATTTTATTGGAAATTTTTAATGAACAGTTACCCTTATTGGTTCCATAAAGTAGAAAATGCATGATATTTAGTTGATAATATTTAATTATTCGAACTTTTCCTCCTTTGTCTTTAGATTTTTTCGAAGTGTTTATAATTGCTTTTGGCTTAGGCAGTACACCGATTGCTATATTGGCCTAGATTTGCATGAGATTTAAAGGAAAACAATGTTACAAAATTGATACTTTTTCTTTATGTATCATTAAGTTTTGACGATAAGTGCCACTGGTATAATAAAACTGCTCACGCTGTTACGTATTGATTGCGTGAGTTTCTGTGTACTGAACATTTAATTTCCCTTGTAAATCCTTTACAAAGATAATGTAAAGAAAATTTTATAAGATTTGTTAATAAGTAATAAACTCGTACGTATGTACATATACATATGTATAAGGCAATTTAAACTCCCCAAGAGATTCTTGAAAAAAGCGTCCAACGAAGCCGTTTCCCAAGGGATAAAAATGACAGATACGCGTTTTCTTTGGAATGTAGGACGAAGTATAATTCAACCTGTCTCGTTTATCCTGGATAGGTAAATATACTTTGTTATGGAAATAAAATAGTACAACCAGAAAATGATTCTTTCGTTTTATGATTAGTAGGAGATTATTAAAGTTTTGAACTAACTGTAATCGTAGGATTATGTGCATGCACAGATGCATAGTACATATCAATGAATTTTAATTTCTTCAAAATAATGGTCCTATTTTAATGGAAGCTGCTATAGTTATATTAGATAGGTGTACATACATATATGTCCGCTAATATTTTGACGTTAACTGAAAAAGAACCACATAACACAATATTTATATACTTCAAATCTGTATGTACTGGTTTATATTTATTTGCTCAATTGCAAAAAGATTACTTGCTTTTTTAACTTTTTGAGACATTAAAGCTATTTAACTACCAATTATGCCAAAGATTTAGATAATCCTTGATTATTAAAAAACACTTGTTTCCGACTTATCAAAAGGCTTGGTACAATTTTTTATTGCTCCTTAAATACTTTATGAAATTTACTTTTTGTGCCGATAAATTGGTTTCCAATTTAAATGGCTATTCCTTAACATATTTTATGGACCATTTGCCAAGAAAAAGCGCACTTTTCTTGTACGAAAAATCAATTCCATTATTTTTATGAACTTTAAAATGTTTACGATATTAACAGCTTTCTATAGGCTTTGTTCAAATGGTAGTCGAATATAAAATACAACATTTTTTATTATCGTCTCTTTTTTGAAAGTGAAACAAATTTCTGAGCTTTTTAAGTACCTATTAACTTCTGTATTTCAAAATTTCATCTTTTCGAATGATATATAACTGTAGATATTTTGTAATGTCGTTTGTGAAGACGTACAAAATGTGTATTACCACGGCGTGGTCAGTAAATTCCATGAAATTAATTCCCGGAAATAGGTTCCTGTAGGAATGTTGTAAACGTCCGAAAACGTTATTAGACCCGGAAGTATCTGGAAGCACGCAGAAACGTAGGTATACACTAACTTGCGAGTTCGTGATTTGAAAAATGATATCGCAACTGAATTGTTATTCACGAAATCGCGAACTCCTCCTACACGAACAAGCTTTTGAACTTTTCTCGCTACGCAAGTAACTTATTCCGTTTTTCCTTTAAGGTTATTCCCCCTTAGAATCGATTTGGCATGCGGCTATAGCAAATATTTTTCTGACACGTGTTCTATAGAATAAGATACTTATTAAAAAAACGGACAGACAGATACACGAGTGACCCTAGAAGGGTTCTGTTTCTCATTCAGACGTTCGGTACCCTTAACGCGAGGACCAACTTAACATTGTAGTTGAAAAAACGATGCTCTCCCATACATTCAAACTGCAAAAGTAAATTTGAACTCACAATATTGTTTTGTTGAAATATTTATTACGTTATGGTTCAAACCATAGACTTCTTGTTAATCTTCCTGTAATCTATAAGTGATGAACTATTTTCTGTATTTTTTTTCAAAATTTTAAATCCAGTAGTTTCAGAGATAAAGAGGGGGGAATAACTAAAACTACTTATTTGTGTTCCTATAAGGGTTCTGTTTTTCATTCGGACATACAGAACCCCTAAATAGGCTCTCTAGCCTATAATCCTCCCCAGAGCGATAGGGTTTGTAGACAGTCCCCAAGGGCAAAATTTAACTTTACCGAAATTAATTATAATTCATCATAAACCTACGGTGTCATTTAATTTTCTTTGTTTTTTTTTGGGCATAAAAATCGTCAAAAAATATAAATCAAAAATACAAATAAATATAAGAAAAGTAATTATTATTGTTATAATTATTTATATATTCTGAAACATTGTCTGACTAAGTACAAATAGTCGTACAAATGCATTTTCTTACTTGCTAAAATACAATATAAATTTTTCAGTTTTTTTTTAATCTGCACTTGGTCACTTTTCAAGTGACCGAAATTTTGGAACGAACCTATCCTGAGAACCGCAATAGATATTTAAAATGTTTTCAGAACAAAGATTTAGCCCCTACATTCGTATTATTGTTCAGTTGCAGACCTAAAATCGAAACATTTCTCGTCGAGATTCAGTGTACAGTTATCCTAAAGTTCAACTTCGGTCCTTCTCCTAAAAGATTGGACAGGGACCCGTAAGTTAAATACAAACATTTCATTTTTTGGGCTATATCGTCCATGTCGAGGCTTTCGTGCATTCCAGTTGTGCTGCAAAAACAAGAGCAAACTGTATTCTCGTCTTGCGATGACAATTCCAGGGTGCAGTGATAACGATCGTCATTGTTCGATAGCATCCAATACATGACGTACGATCGATTCCTTCGTTCTTCTGTCGAAGCACTTACCATCAACCAAAAGGTGCATGACTGTGTTTTTTGTAACATTTTTCGACCAGCATTTGCTAATGAGATATGCGGTTTAACACACGATTTTGTCATCGTCCCTGATTCATATATTGTTATCAATCCCAAACAGAATGATGATCCATGAGTGGTAACGGAGATGTCGTGGATTAAATGAAGTTCTTTGCCTCGATCCAGATCAAATCTGGGGATATCGCCGTGTTCGTATTTGAAGTGAATGTCAAAGGACGATTGAGCTATGATTTTGCCGCAAGGACTATGAGGACAAACCAGTGGTTTCCTGGATACGTTCGTTGTACTGTCACAGATACTTATTAGTTTATTACGGTTTTTTATTTTCCATATTTTGCTTTCTTCGTATGAATCAAAAGCACTATTGCCCATGTCTCCAGTATCGAGCCTGTTTACAGGACGTCTGTTAGAATATTCTCCTAGTTCATTATTATTAAACTTGCCTTTACACTTCACATTTTCATCGAAAAGAAATCGCAATTGTTCTTGCGTTAATCCAAACAATTCCTCCAGTGTTATACCTGGATTTTTATTATTGTTATTATTATTATTAGTTGTTGTTCGACTTTCTGTTTTTATTGAAGGTAATGGGGGAGATATCGAATTGTATCTCCTCGATCTTCCAATGCCTGGTTTGACTTTTAGTTTCTGTAAAAATTCGGGGGACACGTGTACAGGTTGAAAATTAATTCCGCTGCATTCCGTACATCTCGGGACTCCTGAAAATTCGAATTGAATACATATTTCTTAATCTAGTTTCACATATTACCTCTGTGTACTATTTTGGTATAACACGACATGCAAACGATGTGTCCTAGATTGCATTTATAAAGGGGCGAGACATTCGGGGTGTTTTTGCATAGGATACACTTCATGGCAGTCAACCAGTGCTCCGAAGTATTTTGAGTCAGCGAATTAGCCATTCTTTCACTTTTTTCCACAGAAATACAACTACGACTTCATCTTTAACAAACTTATACAAAAATTTAGGTTTACAGACACTTGTGACGTTTCGGCAGTAATTGATGGTGACTTTACATTTCGATTTCAACCTTTACTGATGACTAGATGAAGTTCAGTTAGAAGAAATTGTTCGAACGTTTCGCGAGACTTTTAAATGTCAACCTAAATTTAACATAAATGTCACCTTTGAATCTCTGAATCTTCCTGTCAATTATTTTTGAAAAAACATCCCACAATTCAACAAACAAAACATCTTCTGCAATTTTTTTTAATTTCAAAAATACTGCAAATCTGTTGAACGCAAGATATTTTACTGTTATGAACGCTTTGCATAATTCTTTTACTTCTTATTGACTCTATGCAAGAAATTTTCTAATTATATAACCAATTATCTTATTATTTATTATCTTAGGATCCCTTTACTTTTATTGGCTAAAATCAGGAGCTGATTTAAGTTCACTAACATATGCTTTTAATGTGGCTGTAAATAATGTTTACAGTGGAATAGAATTAAATTAAGAAATCTATTAAAGAAGGGTTTAAAAAATCATTGTTCTTAAAACCTTGCTGCATGATTAGTAGTAGATGGCGCTGTACTACCCATAACTTGATACCATATCAAGTTCATTTTACTTTACTTCCTAGCCGTTTGGTATAACAAAACACATTAAGAAAGTTTTTCAATTTTTTTTTGTTTTAATTCAACAATAATTTTATTAGTTAATTAATGAGAAAATTGGGCGTTTAGTTGTCGATCTTTAGGGAAGATAAAGTCATTTCTCCAAAGAGAAGTCGACCTTATTCCATTTCAAACCAGAACATGGTCGTCAATCCAGTTTTAACATACATATGTATGAATTACAATGCAAATCGCAATATTAATAACAACAGAACCGCAAATGTACATACTTATAAGGGTGTCAAGCAGGGCTCAATTGTTCTTGTTATACAATTTGATCTTGATAAATCTCCTGTCTGTTGTTATTCAAATGTTACGGGTCATAAGCAGAATGTTAATGCTTGTTTCAACCAACGAAAGAACAAAACAAAAAAGGCCCTTGAAATACAGAAATAAAATCGTATATGTAATAACCGTTTCTTTATTCCAAGACGGATGTGGTTTTTGTTATGGAACGGGGGTGCCTCTAGTGCCTAGCAGATCAAAGTTGGGGTTCATAATAACTGTGAAGCTACATTTGCTATTTTATGATTATAATCAAATAAAAACAACAAAGCAATTGAACAATTTTCAGTCAGTTTACCAAATGAAATTGTTTTGATTCTAGTAGAATATTTTATCATAATAATGATCTTAGGTAGGTGCCATTTTATGTCCCTCATCCATGAGTAGTCACAGAAAACATTATAAGATGCACTGTTCAAAAAATATAAATTTAATTAAACATGTTATTAACAAGATCCATTACTTATATGATAATATTATTGTATTTTGAGGCAAACCTTTGAAAAGGAAACCATGTAATTACACAAAATGCATTACAGATATAGTACAGTCGATGCTGATGTAAATTATCCTTCACGTGGAGTTTATGATTAAATATCAACGTTATTATTTGCTAAAGCAGATTTAATCTCTAATCAATTTTACTCGCCGACTTCCTGCCTTGAAGCTTACAGGACAGTAATTGCACTTTCCGAAAGTAATAAATTCACCAACCATAATTATCTGCTTTATATAATTATAAAACGTGATGAACTTTAATAAACAAACATTTTTTATAAAAAATAGTAACAGATTTTTTTGATACGCTGTCTTAACCCACAAAAATAACGCTAATAAATAAGCAATGGGTCCATCCCAACTATTCTTAAAAGAAGGTATTCCGCTCTATCCTCCAGCTTTACAACAGAGTGTTTCTGTTAAAGACTACTCGCCCAGCAAAACCGCAAAAGTTCATTATTTTAGTGATGTTGAAATATGATACCTAATAATTGTTATTTATTACAATTTTGGGTAATAATCAAACATTGATCAATTGTATTATCGATGAGCAGTGAAAATCGTTGTTGTTGGTATTCATGTTGGTTTCGCACTAACGGTAAGAAGGAGCTTGAGAAAATTGTATTTGTTTTAAACCTGTTTCCGTTGGCATAGTGTAAGCACTTGTGTGAAGGAAAACCACCATTGACCTATATTTTGTAGATTAATTAGTAAGAAAAACAATTTAAAACAACTCAAAGACGTAGAGGTGCCTAATAGAGAACAAGCCAACGGTACATATATTTGTGAGATTGTGGGTGTACGTTTTTGTAGTTGTATAATTAATGTGCACTTGTTAGTTGAAACACACCAAATGGAAATTTCTGCAAATTGAAGTTAAATTTAACTCTCCAAAGTTGTTTCTTTAAAAATAGAAATTCGCAAGATATTCAGCTTGTATGACAAGGAATATACATACCTACGTGCTGACTAGACTGTAGACCGATCTTATTAAGTACTTACAATTATTTGAAAATAAATGAAAGAATAAATTCAATGGAGAAGTTTACCAAATTGATGTATTGTACTCTACAATATCGTTTTGATTCATGAGATCATTTTGAAAAGTGCCCTATTACTATCATAAAAGTAGATTAATTTAAAAGAAGTAGACCGTTCTTTATTTTAATGCTATTTACGTGTTCATTAATTCTGAACTGTACTGCTCTTCCTGTGTGCCCTACATTCACAGCATCACAATTTTTCCAATTAATTTTTGATTATTGTATCAAGATTATAAATAATAAAACAATATCTCTATTGTACTTCTTTCGAAAGTTGATACAATTGTTTTTGTATTGTGCATCTACTTAATAATTTAATACATTGTAGTAATTAAGCTCTACCTATGGCGAAAGATTATCTGACAGTGAGTTACACTCTTTTGCAACTTTGCGGAAGCTTTGAGTACACTTCAAATCGTCGTAATTACAAATTGAAAGTCGTCTTGAACAAGGTTCTTTTCCAATTTTGAATCGGTATTATTCAGGTTATTACCAAAGAGCTTTTATTTGCAAATTTAACAGAGCTTTCACGTCCAAGTGAAAACGGATTTTTGAATAGCAGTACGCTGTACTATTCATGGAACTTTCGTTGCAAGATCACTTATCTAACTTGCAAAAATTGCTTTAATTCTGGAGCAGTGTATTCAAAAAGCAACGTTTCGTTTCTGTATCCCACTTTGTCTTCAATTCTTCTTTTAACTAGGTCATATTTCATCCTCATCATCATCATAAGATCGTCAGTCCCAAGAATGATTGGACACGCACCTCTACTTCTTCCTAGCCTCAGCTAATCTTCGCATTTCCCTAAAACTAGAACATCCCACATCCTTAACTATTTGCGAACAATAGTCTAATCTAGGTCTACGTCTACTCCCCTTAACTCCTGTTTCTGCCTCTAATTTGTCTCTAACTAAACCTTCATGCCTAAGAAGGTGTCCTACCAACCTATCTCGCCGATTTTTTATTGACTTCCGTAGAGTCCTCTGTTCTCCTATTCTTTGTAATACCTCGTCATTTCTAGGCTTCTCTATCCTCATTATTCACCAGTNCCCAACTCTACTTATGAACTTCTAGAGTCCTCTGTTCTCCTATTCTTTCTAATACCTCGTCATTTCTAGGCTTCTCTATCCTCATTATTCACCAGTAACATCACATTTGGAACGCTTTTAACCTTATATAAACATATTTATAAACAGTTAATTTTTTATTATTATAATCCTTGAAAATAACATTTCTAACGCAAAATCAGATTTTACGTTTATGTACATATATAAGGTTTCTATTTGCTTCCATCTTTTTTAGGCATTCACTATTACGTTTATTAAAAAATTAAAAAAAAAATTGTTTATTGCTTTCTAAAACTCTAACAAACATTGAGGACAACTCTCTTTTTTTACAGTATGTTTTGAATTTTATGTCGGCAACCAAAAATTTTTTTTTGCCTGCAGTTTTGACAAAGGTAAAATTTCGACCTTAATTTAATAAAGGCGCTTTGTCTAATCCAATTAGGAGGAATTACAACTCAGCAACTTGACTTTGGGCTTGGCATTATGGATTTTTTAATCGATATCTTATTAACAGAAAATACGTACAAACAAATCGTATGTGTATAGATATATGTGTACATAATAAGTACCTACAGTGTAATTCATTGAAACTGGACAGGATATACAACCCCGTTTTCGCAAAATATGTTCGTATAATATTATGTAGAAATGGTATTTAGGTACATATTTAAAAAAGTTCTTCTTGAAAATGCAACATTCTTCTGTTTTCTATTTTAAATATTAACTTTTTTGAGTAATCAATGCCAAAAAGATGCAAAAAGCTCTGTTATGTATTAACTACTGAGCTTTTAAACCTCTGGTACATTTATTCGTATTTTTTTCTATTAATATGTGAAGTTCAAGAATTTATTGACTCTTAAAAGCTACCCTTGAAAAAGTTCGATAATTAAGGGCGAAACGTTGACAGTAGCTTTTACATAATAAAGAGCTTTTTGCCTTTTTCTGGCTTTGATTATTTAAACAATTTGTATAATTAGGTGAAAAATGGAAAATGTATTTAATTATTAATTTCTGTTTGTGTTACATAGTTTTAAACCTTTATTATTTTCTATTTTCAAAGTAAATAGGTCCTAAATCCAAACTACAATGTTTTTAATCTTCCTTTACAAGAAGCAATAGAATAATTTTATTAGTAAACAAACACAAAAACTATTTAGAGAATACAATTGCATTTCGTATGCATTTTCAGGACAATTTTACATTCAGTATTTGAAATATTTTATATCTTCTGTTTCAAACACACCATGACAACCATTATTCGCATCTCTGATGACTCGAAGGCTAATCCTTTGTTTTTTTTTTACCATTATATGCCACAAAAACCATTATGCATTTATCCTTATATTTCTGACGTAGGACGATCGTTCAGTTTAGTTTTAATAGACTAATTAGCCATAAGCCATAACCTGCTTCCTGTAGATCAATTTTGGAAAAGGGAGGAAATAAAATATAATATCAAACACCTTTGGAATTAATTAGAAAGCTAATCGAATTCGTAAGGTGCATCACGTTAATTGTTTGTTTAACTTTTCATATACCGAGTGTACACAATCAAAACTATCCTAGTTAGGAATAAAGTTAAATGTTTAACGTATAAATTATCCTGTAATTTGTTTCCTCGTATCCTAAATATATGTACATATTAATTTTTGATGTGTTAATTACAGTGGGGCTGTTGTTATTAATAAATAACAAAGTATTGGTTTATTCTTTTTATT